GCCATCGGGCATGAGGGAGCATAAGGGTCCTGAGACACCAGCCCTGCCCCTCTCGACTGTCTGGTGCAGCTGCCCTCAGGATGTAGCGCCTGGTAGCAGACAGCCATTGGAGGAGGCCATAGTTGTGCTGGCCAGCCAGAGTCCAGCCAGTTGGCCACACAGAGGCTCCTGCAGCCCCAGTGGAACCAGGTGGAATGCAGCCTGCCAAGGTGCCCCAAGGGAGCTGCTGTCTGGACCCTGCGCAGCACGACTCCACCCTGCGTCCACAGGGCCGTGGTGTGCCTCTCTGCCCGGGACCACTGCAGACTGTGGGCTGGGCCGTCCAGGCTGCCAGCCTGTCATGATCAGCACCCTGGGGTGCCCACAGCCTCCACGCCTTTCTTTTTTCCCAGGCTCGTTTATTTATAGTGCCATTCCAGTGCCTTCCGCACCTGTCTGTCTGATCCTTTTAGGGATCAATTGCAAACAGACCTTGGTATTGGGCAGCTTTTTAGTCATTTAATGCAAATTGCCACACTGCTTTGCAGGTCAGGTTTTAATGATCTGGAATCGATCCAAACTAAGTGGCTTTTGATCTTGCTGCAGAGTGAAGATGCCCCACAGAAGGCGGGAGCCACCAGCCACACGCACGCGATTAGAGCTGATGGCTTGATTCCTGCCGCATTTTTGGTCCCTTTCAGAGTAATTCTTTTTTCACCTCTTCTCTGTTTGAATGTGTCTTTTTTTCTCCTAGGTAATTTTGAGTGTGGAAATCCAGAGAATCTAAAAAGCAAATGCATTCCTGTTCTGGAAGCCCAGGAGTACCTGGCAGTGAGTAGGCTGTGCGGCCTCTGTTCCAAGGGCTGGGGTTTGCTACTGATCCTCAAGCCCTGCGGGTTTTCCCTTTCTGTCTTGTGTTTGCATTGTGGCTTTTGGAGGCTCTTTTTCTTAGCTTAGTGGAGCGTTAGGCTACCTAAGATAAGGCGGCCGTGGTGGGCTCCGTGCCCCAGAGCTGGCTACTGCTTCCTGCCCTGCTGCCTGTCGCAGCACACAATGGCTGCAGGCAGCCAGCCCCCTTTGTTCCTTTCATGTGTGTGTGTGTGTGAGAGAGAGAGAGAGAGAGAGAGAGAGAGAGAGAGAGTGTGTGTGTGTGTGTGTGTGTGTGTGTTGTACTGAGGATGGGAGCCAGGGCCTTTGTACTGAGACACACACACCCCTTTATTTTTGTTTTTTGAGACAGAATCTAAGTCACTAAGTTACCCAGGCTGGGCTTGAACTCAACATCCTCCTGTCTCAGGTTGTCAGATGCTTGGACTACAGGGTACACCTCCACATCTGACTCAGGCCCCCTTCTTAAAGGGCCCTGTTGTGCACCCCACACACACACTTCAGTGCTTCAGGGTGCGGGGAACCTGCCCATTCTAGAACTCTTGTAATTCATTCAGTCCGTGTCAGTGTCCGCATGGCCTCTGGATGGTGGAATTGGGGCTCTTGCAGGCCACAAGGATCTCTGGGGCTGTCTAGTTCCATCTGCATCGCATAGATGAGACTGAGGCTAGAGAGGGTCGGGAATGTGCAGGAGGATGCGCGGTCCAGAGAAGGCTCCAGCCCTGGGGCAGCCCTCACCCCCCCCCCCCATCCCATCCCTTCCATGCCACCCCTCGCCCCACCCCCACACTCCTGCACTGCCTCTCAGGGCTGCAGATTTCCTCCCTGCCGGTTGGTGTGCGTTTGTGTGCTGGGGGCCAGGAGGGGGGGATGGCATGTGGAGGCCAGGGGAGAGGGCTTCTTACTCTAGCCGCAGCCGAGGTTTCGGGGATTCCGGACGCTCCCAGCAGGTGCAGAACGGAGTCCCCCCTCCCCCAACAGAATGTGACCAGCAGCTCCTCCTCCAAGTTTGAAGCAGCACTGACCTGGATCCTGAGCAGCAATAAGGACGTGGGCATCTGGTGAGTGCGCAGGTGTCACAGCTGGGAAGCCGAGGGCAGCCTGACCCCAGCGGCTCCGGCCTGCACCTGCGCTGTCCCTGCCGACCCTGAGGTTAGAGCCGCAGAAGGCAGGTGGTTTAGGCTGCAGAGCTATACAGTTTCAGGAAATATCTGATCCAGGGGTTGGGGGCTGGCCTGGTACCCACCATTCCTCCTTCAGGCCCCCGTCCACCCTCCTCACTCTCCACCCCAGGTGGTTCTGCAGTACATGTCTTCATTTGTAGATGAAATGATTCTGTATGATGCTTTTGCCCGGTGTGGAAATTGCTTCGGAAATACTGGATTTGATTCTGACCAGGCAGTTTCCGCCCCGTTTTTATGATGGGCAGGCACTGTTAGCAGAGATAGCAAACCCTTTCAGAAGACTGAAAGGCCCAGGCAGCTCCCCACGTGGAAGAGCAGGCGTCACTTGGCCGCTGCCTGCGCCCTGGTGTTTGTCAGGATCTCCGTCCGGCTCCAGCGACTGGTATTAAAAGACACTCTAGGGTTTTGTTCATTTCCTCTCTAATCCACCCAAATTACTAATTCCATCAGCCGCGCATCCAATAGAAGCCCCACGGGCAGCGTGGTCTAAAGCTTGCTAACTGGATGCATAGCATGATTAAAACTCGCCAGCTTACAAAACAGCGGCCCTGAGTGGCAGAATGCATTCCTGTGTTAGAAAAGGCAGAAGAGAAGATGGATTTTCTCCTCCACAGTGCCGGAGGAAGCGTATTGTAGGAATGAGGATACTCGCCTTCGCACACTGGGGAGGGCGGCCAGGAGCGGCTGAGCTCTTCAGATGGCCACTGTTGGGAGCCGGGGGCAGCCATTCCAGAACGCGACAGTGAGCCCTGGCTCTGGAAGAAGGCTCAGGTGTCCCAGTGCCCAGACGCCCTGCTGCCTCCAGGGGCCTGGGAGCCGGGTAGTTTCCATTCACCCGCACCTCACGATGCCCTATGATCTTTATACTTAAACAGCTCATGTGGCTGCCCATCACGGAGCAAAAGCGCAAGCCTCCCAGATTCTGTCTTTCTGTCTTGCCATGCGCTCGCAAAGCCAGGGATTCAGTAAACATTTCCATTTCTCTGTGCTGGGAGGTGGGAATCCAATTTACAGTTTAATCTTCTGCACGCTGAGAGAGGCTGTCAAAGACCCGACAGAGGGGGACGTCACTTTAACAGTAGGGGTTCAAGCTTGCTGCCGTCTGTAAAGCTTTATTCTAAATAGCCAACATGGGAACTTTATGGAGAGAGCACGCAAGATACCAGGCCCATTCTATAAGCCAGTCGGGCCCTGGGTCCTGCTCTTGCCACCTCCTGGTTGGATGGGGCTTAGGCAATCAGCTCATTGAAGCTTTGGGAGCCATTAGAGCCCTGTGTCCTGTTGCAGGTTGAAAGGGGAAGACCCGTCTGAGCTGGTGACGTCTGTGGACAAGGTGGTTTGCTTGGAGTCTGCGCACCCCCGTATGGGCGTTGGCTGCCGGCTGAGCCGCGCCCTGCTCACTGCTGTCACCCACGTGCTCATCTTCTTCTGGTGTAAGTCCCACCCTGCCCGGCTCTGGCTTTGGACTTGGCTTGCGGCCCTCAGAGGCATGAGGGATGCGTTACACAAGTTCCCCACTGAGGGATCATCTCCATCCCTCGAATGCGAGGTCTTGTCATAAAACAGAGGAGATGAACACGTCAGCCTCTGCCCTCGGCTGTCTCTACCTCAGGAGATTGGTGGCGGGAGCATCAGGATGACCAGAAATGTCCTTGCTGCAGCCAGGGACTGTCAGTCTCCATGTGCAGGATCTGGACTGGGCAGGAGCCGGTGCTGCCTGCCACTTTGGGCGGGCGTGCAGAGCCTCCCTGGGCAGGAGGCGCCGCAGGGCTGGCCTGATTCCACTCCCTGAGAAATGCAAACATCTCCTGGAGAGCTGCAGATACCTGACAAGCTCAGGAAGGACTGGGGGTGCTGGGCTGGAAGGGAGAGGGGGTCTTACCTGCCAGTGTCTCTGGCCTTTGAACAGAGACCTCAGGGTGCCTCTGAAGGTGAGGCCACAGCACAGCACAGGCCCCCGAGCTAGCCAGTGCCACGCACACCGCCCTCCCCGCTCAGCAGGCTGGAAATCATTACCGCAGCAGCATCTTGGAATACAAAGGCCTGGCATGTATATATGTATGAAACGTGGCATTCAGGCTCACAGGGGAGGAGATGAAAGCCTGCCACGAGGTGGGGAGGGACGAGATCTGTACGCTGGGGACGCCTCTGGTGACAGCGGCGAGAGGATGATGATCACTTCATAGCCTGCCTGTCCTCCTGTGCCCATGTCCTTGTTTTCCTGCACACTCGCCCTGTTGCTGACACACAGTAGGGGCCCAGACCATGCTTGGCAGGCCCCTCAGCCTCTGCAGACACCAGGCTCTGACAGGGCTTGTTCCCTCCCAGGCCTGGCCTTCCTGTGGGGACTCCTGATCCTCCTGAAGTACCGATGGCGGAAGCTGGAGGAGGAGGAGCAGGCCATGTACGAGATGGTGAAGAAGATCATAGGTGCGTGGTCCCCGGGCCCAGGGGCCGCCTACGCCTGCAGCAGCCTTGCCTAAAGCGTGCTCTCCCTGCAGATGTGGTCCAGGACCACTACGTGGACTGGGAGCAGGACATGGAGCGCTACCCATACGTGGGTATCCTGCACGTGCGCGACTCCCTTATCCCGCCACAGAGCCGGTGAGTCCCCACCCTGGGCAGGTGGGACCATTGAGGGGTCATGGGAGAGCATGGCCTGTTCCTCTGTGGAGACCATGGTTCCTGCTGGCTCCAGTGTGGACAGGGCATCCCCTGTAGTGGCTGTAGCTGAGAGGGCCCAGGAATAGGTCAGAGAAGCAGGGGCTTGGACACAGCCAGCCAGTGCCTGGTCCTTCTCTGTGAGTCTCTCCTTGCCTGCTCAGGTCACAGGGTGGTGGCCAGGAGCAGGTGGAATAGTGTCTGACTGGTCACAGCTGGCAGGGGAGGAGAGGGCCTTCTTTCACTCTTCCAAGCATAAGCAGGCCTTCCCTGTTGCTCCAGGGACCTGATCCCAGGGACTTGTTAACCAGAATCCATGTTTTGTCTGCCTGCACATCTGTTTCCAGTAAAGCGGGGGAGGATTTTATACTCAGCAGACCCAGTCAGCAAACCCATCAGCTACAGTCCTGTGGCCTGGTCCCCAAGCACACAAGTGCATGTGCGCATGTGCCTGAGAGTGACCAGCAGCCCACTGGTCAATTTCCAGAGCCGGTGAAGGGAGTCTTTTAGGGGGGCCGAGGTACTGCGGTAGTCAGCAGGGCCCTCCGTGGTGTCGCCTCTGATCTCTGCATGCTGTCATCTATGGGGCCGTGGGAGCCCTGGGGTCTGGCCCTGCCCTGAGCTCTGCACACAGCTCGCTTCTCATCGTGGCTGGCAGAGATGAGATCAGCAAACAGCCTGCTTTCCAGGAAAAGGAGCTCCAAAATGTTCGTGGCATTTCTGTGTGGTGCCGCCAGCAGGTCTGTGTGGACGTCATCCCTTTCTGTGCTCCCAGGAGGACCGTGAAGGGTCCCTGTGCACAGGGAGGTACTTGGTGGCTTCCTATCACCCACAGCCCTCCCAGCCAGGCAGGAAGCAAGGACAGCAGACTGCAGGGCAGGCCCTCGGGTGCTTGCTGTCTCTGTCACCCCAACCTGGCTGCAGCAGTGGCACAGGAGGATCCCAGAGACAGAGGCTGTGGGGTTGCTCCTCTTCCTACAGGCAGGGTGACACTGGAGGGACAGCAGCAACTATCTAAGGGGCACTGAGTATGGAGAGGTTTTATAGCCAGGGCCCAGCCTTAAGGAACCTGGATAGAATGGTAAAGTGTAAAAACTGCAGAAATGACCAGTGTAGGTGCAGTTGGCACCGACCAAGGAGACGCTTAGCCAGGTCCTCAGGGTCTCTGCTGCCCCGCCTCCTATTTGTGGGGACAGCGAGGGCCAGTAACAGCCTGCACCATGCAGTGGGCAGCTCACAGCTCAGGCCGGTCCCGACGCTGGCCAGGAGGCATTGTGTGACTGCGTGCTACCTGCTTGGCCCCAAGGAGGCCTGTCTTCATCAAAGGGAGGTGGAGGCATGGTTGGCCCTTCCATACCTGCATGTGCCACACATCGAACTGGGGAGACAGAGCTGTGCCCTGCGGGAGCATCTGTTCTGGAGAGCCAGGCACCAGACGGGAATCGTAAGGGAGATGTGTGGCACTAGGTCAGAGCAGTCCTAAGGGAGGGGACAGGGTGCCAAGGAGGTCGTCTCAGGGCTCAGTCACTGCCTGGCACCAGAGCATTCAGCCCCTTAAACAAGGCTGTGAGGCAGGCAGTGCACGTGCCCTGCCTTGGCCCTCACCTTAGTGCAGAGCAAGCGCCGCCACTGGTCACCTGTGCTCCATGCAGCACTGGACCCGGCCCACACCCGTGGGCTCCGTCCACTCGACCAGCCAGGCGCTGCACACAGAAGGACCCATCAGCATCGGTGCGGGAGGTAGTTGAGGACCCAGTTGTGAGAGGCTGAGGGAGCGGAGCTCCTAGAGTGGGAGTCAGCTGCCCTGCAGGCTCTTTACCTGCGGGATGGGCACTGGCCAAGGTCACTGCCTCCTCTTTGGCACCAAGCATGAGGTAGATGTCCTTGTTCTTGGACCTTAGGCCCAGGGAGGTGTGGCCTCACCCCCAAGGCAGGAAGCCCCCGCACCCCACCCTGCCACCTCCGTTTGTCTTTGCGATGGCTGCTGGTCCCACATACACTGTTCCCCCTTCCTGGTCTGCCCTAGAGCTGCCCGACCCACTCTGAGAGGAGTGGAGGCCCTCCTGCTCTCTGGCCCTGGATGGGGCGCTCCCTGTGGCTTTGCTTCCTAAGCCTGGGCTTCCAGTCGGATGCTTTGCTCATCCCCAGCCCACAGAGTGCTGCAGCTGGGCCTGCAGCCCTGTGGTTGCTCTGTAATTGGCCCACAGGAGGCATCGGGAGCCAGTTGACAGAACAATGTGGTCCCGTGGATTGGCTGCTGCAAATCAGGTCTCAACCTGGAGCAGCAGACCCAGTGCAGCGCTCCACATCCACTGTTCAGCCCTCCACTCTGGTGAAAGCCTCACTCAGGGGAGCTTGAGGAAGCTGCCGTCCTCAGAAGCTGTCGAGTCAGTGCCTGGCAGCTCCCCCCAGCCCCCGTCGAGCCCCACTCTTGTTGCAGGAGGCGCATGAAGCGGGTGTGGGACCGCGCCGTGGAGTTCCTGGCCTCCAACGAGTCCCGGATCCAGACGGAGTCGCACCGAGTGGCTGGGGAAGACATGCTGGTGTGGAGATGGACTAAGCCCTCCTCCTTCTCTGACTCAGAGCGATAGGCCCCGCTCAGGGCCTGTTCCACGTCGGCCGTCCGGGCAGGGTGGCCAGACTGCGGTGCTGCATTCACACTTGCCTTGACCGCCGCCCTCTGCCTGGCTGCAAGGGGAGCGGCTTCCTCAGGTGGGGGAGCCGGTGCGCAGCCCGTCCTGTGCCCGCTTTGCTGGCAGAAGAGGGGCAGAGGGTTCGTGCTCTGCGGACAGAAAGCCGCAAGGCAGCAGCAGTGGGGCCTGCACAGCCAGCGCGAGGCTGGGGCCACCAGTGGGCGACAGCTGCGCGGCCTGGGAGGTGGGTCAGGGACAGCGGGTGGGGTGGCAGGGACGGGAATGGCTTGGTCCATGTGCCTTTGGGGGTACCTGGGAGCTCAAGGTTTGGGGAGAGAGCCTGACCTCGGCCGGGTGGGCGCTTCCGTCCTAAGGACGATGCTAAGAGAGCAGGTGACTGGAGGGGAACTGTCCGGAAGCCCCGTGCCCCGGGCCGGCCACCAAGGGCCACCAGCGGCACACCTCGCAGAAGCTGCAGTTTCAGACCAGACCTGCAGCCAGGCACTGATCAGAGGAGAATGAATGCGGGTTCTGGGGCACAGGGTGGAGTGCCTGCTGCTTCCTGAAGCGAAGCCACGCGTTTTACTGTGACGCATCCCCCACCGGGTCTGAAGCTGCGGTGGGGCAGACGCTGCGGCAGCTGCACACTGCCCCCTGCCGGCCGCCGTGCGGCTCTGACTTGGGGCTGGGGAAGGAGCAACTCCAGCTGCCTCTTTCTGGGCTTAGTGGTGTTTTTTGTCTCCTTAATAAAGCGCCAGTCTCCCTCACTTGAGCAATACTCAGTCCTCTCTGTCTGGGCGGCGGTGGCGGTAGGCTGGAGTCCAGGTGCTAGTCCTGTTCTCGTGACCAGCCCAGCCAGGGTGAAGCACGATGACAGGCTTCCTGTCAGGATAGCAACTGTGGATAAATAAACTATTTATTAAAAATGGATGTGTCTCTCATCCATGGCGCTCACCGTCTCCCGGAGCAGTGTGAGATGTGTGGGGGCCACCTCAGGCCAGCTGCATGCTGTGAAGGCAGACCACCTGTCCTCCGGGGCTGCGGTGGGGTCTGCACGGAAGCTTTTCCTCCTGCCTCTTGCCTGCTTTGTCTGTACCCACAGGAAAAACAGTGAGTTGGCAGGGCTTCCTTGCCGTGAACTGTGTCCCCAAAGAAGGTGGCTTCTTTCCTCCAGGCCTGGCATTAAGGCCACATGTGGCCTATCTGGTGGCATGGGGTCTCCAGGGAAGCTGTGGGTGTCTGAGCTCCATGCCAGAATGCAGGTGGGGCTCTGGCAGGCTCCCAGGGCCAGGCACCGCTGGGGAGAGGTGTCTCCTAAGCTATGCTTCCTGGCTCACCGTCGTCCAGCCCGCCTGTGGGTGCCCCTGGCATGTGTAGCCCCTGCTCTGCCCATGTGCACTGGGTGGGGAAGTGAACATGGCGCAGAACGTGGCTCAGGCAAGGCCTCTGCCTGCCTCCAGAGTCTTCACTGGGCCTTCTCAGGGACGGGTGGGGAGCTGGCTGCCTCAGGGAGGGCTGAGCAGAACAGCTGGGTGTCCTAATCCTCCCCCCACCGCCCCTTCTTTTTGGGGGATGGTACCAGAATAATAGAGCCGAGTCCACATGAGTGCGTCAGCAAAGGGAGTTTTTGAGGCTCAAAGTCAATGGTGCATTAATTAAGGGGGAACAGCTGCTGCCGCAGCCCTCCCTCGTCATCAGTGAGTGACAAATGGCTGTGTTTACCTTCTTCCTTGCCTCCTTGGGGAGGTGGCCTGGAGCTCCAGGGCGGATGTCCACAGCTGAGATTTGTGGGCTGCAGCCTCTCCCCACCCCATAGCCCTGCTTTATTGGTGCCCATACAGCCCACGAGGGCTGTTTGTCAGGAAGAAAGACAGGACTGTGGCCGGGAGTGCTAGGGAGGGCTCTGGGCAGAGGGGCATTGGTGCCGAAGCGTCCCCCAGCCAAGAGCCACTCAGACACCAGGCCCGGCCCAGACTGAACAGAACTCTCAATGTGCCAGGGACACCTGAGCAGAGGGCTCTGTGGGCGCCTTGCCACCCAGCCCCTGCCTGTCCCCGGGCAGGGCTCAGCTCCTCAGGACTGGCTCTCCATTTGGTGCAGCAGAGTGGCAAAGTAAGCTGTCTCACCAGCAGGCGACCTCTGCACTTGCTGCATGGCAGCGTGTGCCCCAGCCCTCCATGGGCTCACAGCCTCTCCTTCTGGTCTGCTCCAGTCACCTGCCTGGACCGAGGTCACACCTACACACCCACCCCGCATCCCCAGGCTCAGCCCTCCTCCATCCTCGGGGACGCTGGCTCCAGCGTGCTTTCCATACAGCGCTGTCTCCAGCCTCCACGTCCCAGGGTGTGGATCTCTGTCTGATCCTTTCTCTGCCCAATGCCTGGTTCTCAGGCAGTGCCTAGCATACAGCAGGCCCCGGGAAATAAGGAGTGAATGAATGAATGAATGGGCACTCCCATCTCAGGAGGAGAACCAGGCATGGAGGCTCTAAGGCCTGAATTCCTGTTTTACTGTCCACACTTGCTCTGGTTTTATTTTTCCATTTTAAATCTGAGCGACCCGGGTGACTCGCCCACCCTCTGACCTGCCAAGGGCCCCATCATGCCCACTGCCTGCTGCTAACAGCTCCACACTGGCCGCAGAGGCACAGGCTGGACCATGTGAGACACAGGCACGGTGCGTGGAACCCGCTCAGTTCCATTTCCAGTGCCCCAAGTACTGGAAGAAGCTATGGAGAAGTACAGGGCATGCCCCGCCCCCGCCAGACAGGCCCTGGGAAGACACTGTTGGGGTGGAGGTGCGCCCGTGATATGCAGTCTTGCGGGCCTGGCGGGTGAGACTTGGAGCAGATTGGGATGGATTCCAAGAAGAGTGAGGGATGTCTCTCCCTGCCCATAGTGAGGTCCAGCCCAGGGCCAAGGGCCTCCATGGAACCCAGGGTGACACGGCACTGCAGAGATGCAACCCGACTCCGGCTTCTCTGCAGACCAGGCCAGTGCTGCGCACCCAGGTCAGTTCAGCTGCCTGGGCCCGACCGTGAGTAAGCCTGGTCTGCAGAGGGCCTCCTTCAGGCCCTGAGGGACATGGGCCAAGGAGGTACCACTGTGAGCACAACCCCGTTTCGAAGCTGCTTCTGTTTCAGGAGACAGGGGAAAGTACAGTAATTTTCTTAAATGAAAACAGGCAACAGAATTCCCTTTGCCTCGTTCCCCTTGCAATTAAGCCCTTCTCTGCAAATGAAATGATTTGGTTTTCATGGGGACTAATTTAAGCGCACTGGAAGGACCGCTGAACTTTTTGATTGCAAACACCAGTGTGCAAAACAGAATCTGGCAGTGGTGCCAGGCCAGTGAGGACGCCCTGCCCAGAGAGATGGGGCTTGGCAGGAAGCGGGCTCGTCCCTCCGTGACCCCAGGCTCAGACCCAGTCCGTGGATCCACAAAGCAACCTCAGCAGCCTCTGACACGCTGGCAGTGGCAACAGGTTGAAGATGCACTCTGTTCTTTTTCCTGAGCCTTGAGTCTGGCTGGTCTCCTGACCACGCTGACCAGGGGCATGTGGCCCTACGGACCCTGGCTGGTCCTCACCTAAGGCCTGGAGAAGCCCTGCTGCTTCTATTTCCACCCTCTTGGGCCCTAAGCCACCAGAGTCAGCGCCGCATGGGGTGGACCTGCAGGGAATGGCGGCTGGCCAGGCCCGGCACTTCCAGGCGGCTGGGCGATGGAGCAGAGGCGTGACTGAAGCCACCTGTAGCAGCTTGGTCTGTGCAGACAGGTAGGCCCAGGCCAAGCCCTGCCCAGAGGGCAGATTTGGTAAATAAACAGGAGTTATGTTATGATTACAACTTTTAAATTGGCAATAGTTTTAAAACTCACAAGAGGATGCAAAGAGGGTACCAAGAGTTCTCAGGTAAAACTCACTGTTTCCCTCAGGTCCCCACAGGGTGTCACACCTAGGAAAGGAACCTGGACACAGTACTTGAGCAGACATCTCTTGGCCAGGTGTCAGCAACTTTATCTGCACGTGTGTGGGATGCATGGGGTGCTGGAGGGATGTGGGGGTTCTATGAAACTTTACCACAGAAGTCACTGGGGTCTGCTCTCCCTGCAGGTAACTGACGTGGCACAGAGAGTCTCCCCCAGAATGAAGACTCCTCAACAGTCTCCCGTTGAAAGTGATAGAAGGACAGCTCTGACCAAGGGGCCTGGACAGCTCACAGAAGCAGATTGCTGGGAGGTAGGGGCTAGCCCGGGAGCCACCCTGCCCGGGGACAGGGATATGGCTTGGGGCCTATGTGTGGGCCACATCCTCCTAGGGACTGAAAGGCAGGAAGGGAAGGTCCTGGCCACAGCCTTGGTAGGGGCCTCCTCTACCCCGCTGCACGGAGAGCCCTGGGGCCTGGGCTCGCACCATGATTGCTGAGTCCCAATCACAAGCACACAGCCCCCAGGGTCTGGAGGACATTCCACAGGGACCATGCAGCACCGGGACTCAGGTGGCCAAGACAGCCAGGATGTGGGCAGTCACCAAGACCTTCTGCTAAAGTGCTGCACAAGAGCAAACTCCCTGTGCCCCGTATCACCAGGCACCGCCTATCACGCTTAGCTGATGACATGTGTGAACGCAAGTGGCAAACGGTGTTTCTAGGCAGCAGCACTGAAAGCGTACTGCGGTCTCTTTCCTGGGCTTGCACGCAACACTGCTGCTGGGTTGCCTACCTGGCCTGCACCCCCACCTCTCCCACCTGGCACCCCTAGTGTCACCGGCCATGGCGAATCAGTCTCCTCTGTCACTGCAGCATCTGCTGGCCCTCACTGACTCTGCAGGTAGTGAAGGGAGTCTGTCCCAAGGGAAGGACACTCACACACACACACACACACACACACACCCCTGCAACAGGGAAGGCAGGGAGCAGGCCTGAGTCCCCGCTATGCACATCTGGTGCCTAGGGCCAGGCCCCCACTAGAGGAGTCCTGCAGGCCCACTGAGGGGCCAGGAACAGCTCCATTCAGCCTTGTGTGGGGTCCCAGACAGTGTATGGAGGGTGCTGCTGCGACAGCTGCCGAGCCGGATGTTCCCAGCCTGCTCCCCTGGGTGTGACTACCACCAAGACAAGGATCAGAGACATAGCGCCCAGCAGAAGCATGGGCAAGGGGTCCCCCCAGGCGGCAGCCTCAGCCTCTTCAGAGATGATGTCTGGGTGTCCCACCTTCCGAGTCCAAGGGAGGCCTGGAGCTCCAGCAGAGTGGGAGCCGGCAGCCCAAGCCCAGATTCAGACGGTAGACGAAGCCAGCAGGGCACAGCCGGGTCCGAGGGGTGGAAACAGCAGACTGCATGGAGGGGAGGTGGTGGGCGTCCCCAGAGAGTTCTGCGCCCTGCAGTGACACTTGTGCACAGCTCTTGGGGGCAGGTGGCCAGGACAGGTGGGAGGACAGCACACATGCTTGGGCCTGACTGCTGAGGGCAAGGGGCTGCCCTGGGACTTACACCCTCTGTGAGCTTTATCGGATCTGCAGGTACTGACAGCTGGGGGGACCATGTCGATATGCCAGACAACAGAGCCAGGATCTGAGACGCCGACAGGAGCAGTGGGGTGGATCTAGTGAGATGAACTTACAAGAGGCAAATGCGTGTTTCATCTTATTTATTCCTCGTCCAGACGAGCAGGTAGGAGCAAGGGGCACACCCATCTCGGGGTCCTGGGGAATCCCCACAGACCCTGGCACCCCCTGAAATGTCATTCCCCTGGGGAGGTGGTGCCAGTCCT